GCAGGACAATTTGGGATCCTATCCTGGATAAACAGTGCTATCATCATCTTAAATAGTGCTGCAGATAGGTGACCAGCAGATGAAGGCTGCATTATTCAAATAATTTGGATGGAAAAAATAAACTTGGATTTACTGTGAGGACTCCTTTCAATGTTGTAGCTTTATCAGTCACCCAGAGAATCAATATGTTTTTGCTATATCACTTTTACTGCTGCAGTAAGGCAAAGATCTTTTGTGATAAACTGTAGTTTATTTTTTTCATTCTTGTTCCCAAGTGAGCAGTCCACACAGGTGATTCAAAGCTAAGTGTCTTGCTTGCTTTCTTGCAGCCCGGTTCTAGTTTTCTGGGTATTAGCTCAAAGAAATTGCCCAGAAAAGCAAAATAAGACTGTGTTCTCCTTGAGCTGACTGTAATAGTGTAAAACAATTGAGTCTGAGATCTTTATTTTAACTTGCTCATAGCACAGTTTCAGTAGAGAACAAAATAAATATAGAGACAAGTGTATCTAACTAGAATTAAGATAACCTGTGAAATGTCACTAGATGAGAAGATATCGTTCTGCTGTTTATCCAGGGAAATGCCGAGGCTGTGGTCAATGACACCGAAAGTTCAAAAGCAGCACTGGCTTAACCTATCTCTCCCCTGTTCTCCCAGCTGCTTGTTCCTGTTTCCATCACCACAAACATTTGCAGGGTGGCATCATGAACCAAATTGGGAAACTGATCCAATTTAAAAAAAAAAAAAAAAAAATCAAACCCAAACCAAAACCCAAACCATAAAACAATAGAGGTGGGAGCAGAGAGACAAAATCAATTGCTGAGGCCAGAACTGCCACTGATTATTTTTTTATCAACAAATCACTGTCTTAGACTACATGTCCACGTGACTTAGATGCTGGATAAGACATTGTCATGCTATAGCAGTGCACCTCCTTCCACAGCTATAACCCCTCCATTTGTGCCACCTTAGCTGTTTGTGTGGTTGCACTCTAAACTGCATCTGGCAAAGTATCTTCCTTGAAAGGTTGTTTCTTTAAGGGTTTGGGGATTTTTTTCCTGGAAAGAAGGCAGTGGGTTTGTTTTTTGAGTAGAAGATTTGGGAGGCCTGGTTGAGTGTGCAGCCACACCAGTGAAAGGAGTATCTGCTGACTGGGGAAAGGAAAGATAACAGGATGCTGGGGACAAGGAAGAGCTGCCACTTGGTGGAAGCTTCCTGAGCAACCCCAGACCCAGCTCTGGGTTTTCACACACACAAGTTCAGCTGCAGGCACTGTGCTCATCCAGAAGTTCAACACAACCATTTCACTGCTCAGGAAAGCCAAGCCCTTACAAGACCTTCTACACAGGCAAATCTACCACTGAATTCAATTCCCACCTATATTAAGACAAGATCAATAGCAAAACTAAGGCTTGAACTTCAGGAGAGCTGGGGTACTGCTTGATACTACTTAATGCAGTTTAAGGTCAGCATTTCCCAAATCATCCACCACAGCCTTGGGGCTGAGCCAATTATCAAACCAGGTGAAAAACCTGACCACACCTTTTGCATTTGGAGCTGCCTGAATTCAGATGATTAGCTTGTATAAGGTGAGGATAGAGAGATAAATGTTGACACTACACTCAGTCAGTCAAATCTTGCAGCTAAATAAGGATGCCTTGGGCAAGACCTAGTCAACCCAGATTTCAAGACTGTGTAAATACTCTAATCCTGTTTATCTGCTACCTCTCTCAGAGAAAAGCAAATCCTCAGTGGGCTCTCAAAGCCCCTCTCCTGTTTGTTAGAGACACATTTGGCTAGTTAAGGAACAGAGACAGAGCCACTTCTGTGCCCAGTCACCAACAGCTTGAGTCCCAAATATCAAACATTTGCAGCAAGATGCTTGCAAAAGGGTATGAGAGAGGAGACTGTGGCAGGTAATTTTAATAATGAATGCATTTGGAGGGGAGGAGGAAAGAGTGTCTGCTCTCACACATCCTGAGCACAAAGGAAAAACTAAACTCCCTGTGTCAGTGACCAGAGGGCCCAAAGAGTGCCTCAAAAAGCATTTAACATTAGTTGGAATCCCATTTCTTCTAAAGCAGTTGTAAAGCAAAGCCAGATTACAATTACAGGGACTCAGATGTCCATAGAAGCGTCTAGTCACAAGCAGCACCCATGATCCTCATTGTAAATTTAGTATTTATTTAAACATAAAGTTTTCCTTTATAACTACTACTGCTATTGCAGAGCCTAAGCAACAGTGTGGAACAGCATTGACAGCAGAGAAAAGAGGGGCTGTGAAATTAAGACCAGCAACAAAAAGACCCATGTACTACTAAAATGCAAAAGGCTGAACCCCTTTTGCAAGAGAATTGCATTTAGAATGGGAAATAAAGGTTGTCCTTCATCTCCAGTAAAATTTCCCTCATGTAGCCTGCCTGACTTGAGCTGGGGGAGCAAGCTGACCACTCTCCTCTGGTTGGAAGGAGTGCAGGTTAAGCAGCCCTTCAGGCAAGGAGGGAGGGAAGACAGAAGACCCAGAAATTCAAGACAGTTCCTTTCAGTTCAGAATCCTAAGCATTGTCCCCCTCTTCCATAACAAACAGTGTTTGTAGCTACTCCAGTAAAATGCAGATGTCAAATATCTTTTTCCCTTTTTTTTTTCTTCCAGGATTCAAAAGTGTCCAGCAAACCAGTGTAACACTACCCTGCTTTAGATTGTGCAAAGTATGTTTACCAAGGCTGAAAGGAATTTAGCACATACTCCCTCCCCCAGGATCTGCAGGGTTTGAGAAGGGCTGAACCAGGCAGGGGAAGAACCAGAGTTAAAAGAACTACGAAGCAGGCAATTTTGTTTAACACACAGCCTTTTATTTTATTATTTAATGCCTGGACTAAAGCACATAAGACACAGCAAAAGCACTTTTTAAATTTAGAGTAGTTCCCTGGATAGATTGCCATTGTTGTTTTTACCTGTTTGTTTGTTTTTCAAATTCTACACCCACACCCAAAAAGGTACAGGCAAGGAAGAGATTTCCCTAATATCCCTTTTAAACAGAAGGGGGGGAGGAGGGGTAAGTGGGGGGAACATGCTTTTTTTTTTTTTTTAACCCAAACAATTTAAGCTATTTGATTAATGCTGAAACCACAAACAGCCATATCAGTGCAACTGAAAGGTGCCACAAGGTGAAACAGGGGTGCCAACAAATAGCCAGGGGCAAGAGATAGGAAACGTGTGATTCACAGTCTCCATAGACCAGACAAATCTCCCCTCAGAAATGCTTGTCTCCATCAATTATAGATGGAGCCTGGCCAATCAGCCAAGCTTAGACACCTGACTCTGCTGTATGGCAGCTGGAAGCAGTAGTGGAAGGTAAGTGATAGTTTTAGGAGGCATTTCAAAATTTTACACATCTGAGGAATATAGCAGTTCAGATAAAGACATTCTACATGGTGCAAGGCCTTGATCTCACATGGCACTATGTCCTTCTCTTCAAAGTACTCAGGGAACAGAATGTCCAGAAAATGCTCTGCATCTTTGCAAAATCAAATCCTAAATCTCAACATCGAAGAAAAAAATAATCTGAATTTACAGCTACGCCATAATTGTTCTTAATACAAACTTCACAGAGGCAAACTGAAACTTTTTTGCATGGTGAGGGTTAATTCCTGACAGACTGAAATACTATGGTATGTGTTGTATAAATTCAACTACACATTTGAGCATGATTATGACTGATTCATCAGATGAACTACTTCTGCTGAAGTTTAAAGAGAAATTTTTTAAAAAGTCCAGCACTATCACTTTGTGTTTGACTATACTGGTAGCAGCATACTAAAACATGAACTGTGTTTGTTTGCAGGTGGTCATACTGTTTTAACTACTGGGCCTGCTCATTAAAATGCAATTCAGTCTAAAAGTTCTTCTCTGGAAAGAAATAGGCTCTTCCATCTGCCTTATTTTAGACATCTAAAACAGAGATGAATCACTTCCTGAAAGTGTCTCTCTCTCCACGGAGTGTACAGAGTGTCTTGGACAACAGTTACTTACATAAATCAGGAGAAAAAAATCCTTCCTCTATAATTTCTTTTTCTGATTGTGGCAAACAATTGAGAACACTCCATCTAAATATTTGTCTTTATGCAATAGCTACAAATTGCTATAACTCATATTACAAACCCACCACAGTTCCCACAAGTGAATTATCATTATCATCTCAAGATTAACTTCTGCACCCAAGTCTAGTGGTACTTTGTGCTTGAGCCAAACAAGACCTTTCTCATACTCTCACCAGATTCCTTTCTGCAGGTGCACATTTACCAGCCATGGATAGTGAGCATCATATATTTAACTATGGAGGAATAAATAATGCATAAAAAGCCTTTTGTGAATACTCAAGCCACATTTTCAACAGATTTACATAAAGTCACATTCACCCTGTCCTTCCTTCTTCACTTTCAATGTAACATGCATTAAATACTCTTGGGAAGCAGAATTTGAGGTTATACATTGAAATACCCTCAGATCTTATTTTTTTTTGCCTGCTGCAGTTACAGGAATACCACTGTTGTGAGTTATCATCATCCAAGCTAGAAAACAGAAACAATACCATATATATGAAAAATTACAGTTGGCAGACCCAAATAAAACACAACACAAGTCATAGACCTTTAAATACGATCAGCTTGAGTCGTTTCAGGCCGGCAGGCCCACAAATTACATGCCCAAAAAGTACTTAGCCCAGCAGGACAATTATGTTAGTTGGGATCCCAAGATTCTCACACCATCAACAAAATACAGACAACAGCAATAGCCAGAAGGATGGGAAATTTTGCTCGCAGGTATTCTGTTAACGAAAACGGCACAAATTATTTGCTCAGCAGTATTTAGAGAGTAACACTTTGAGGACCTCCAAAGCCCTTTTATTTTTTGAAAATAAAAGCACTTTGTTTCCTTTTAAGTCAATTACTGTTTTCTGGCTCACTATCTTACTTTTTAATCTGAGTTTTTTTTTTCCAGCCATCACAGCCTAAATGTGCAAAGGCAGAAAACAAGTGACTCTCTTGCACTGCTTCTAGAACAACAAAAAAATGTGAACCAGGGTAGGTTGCCACCTCAGTAATAACCATGTGCAACCTTTTGTTGTGTTAATAATAGTCAAACATGCAAAACCTGTCAAAAAAAGCTGAAGGTCTCTTCTCAGAGATACTCTGAGGTCTTGGAGGTTTGTAATCTTTCTGTTTCAGCATGACATGCATTGTCTTTTTGGCACTGTGATTATCTTTGCCTCATTGTCTGCCTCAGGCAAAGATATCATTTATGGTGCCACCTTTGTGACTCTTTAGGTATCAGATAACCTACTTAATACTGGCTCTCCAGATGTTGAGAATTTTGGACTTCACTGCCTTGTGGGACCTCCGTGGCAATGCATCTGCTGTCAGAAAGGATTCTTTTCTTCCCCTCCTCTCTCATAGTAGATAAGCTTTATAGAAAAACATACCAGTAAGACACGAAGCAGGCAAAAGTAGCACAACCACCACTGCTCTGTTACTGTTCTGTTTCATCTCCCTCTCCCTAGAGATCCCCTGCCTTAGTTTTTCTCCATCATTGCACTAGATTTATTGCTCCAGTAAGTTTCTGCAAAAGGAGAAAAAGAAGGTACTTGAAGACCCTGGGGACTACCAGCATGGATCCCCTGACCACTCAGCCCTGCATCGAAACAAAAACATTGCAGAGGGTTCAATTGTTTTGCCAGCACTAAACCAGAGCAACTGGGATGAGCAAGGAGGGGGTGGGGGACAGACAGGAAGGAACAGGATGTGTGTTGGGAAGAGCAAATGGGAGAAACAGAGCAAAGGAGGAGTGAGGCAAAGGCTTCCATCTCTGTTAGTGAACAGTGTGCCCATAAGAGGCCTGCTTACCTTTGGGGAATGAAATGATGCTGACCTGTCTGTTTCATCTTTTGTCTGACTTTGAATTCAAGTGAAATGTTATCTCTCTTCAGATATTATTTAGCTTGGCTGTGTGCTGTAGTGGAATGAAGTGCATGACTGTTTTATCTCTTTCACTACAGTAATTTGCACACTGAAAGAAGGAGAGTTGTAGAGATGCTGTGAGATGGGCCATGGAAATGTCATACCATGTTCAAAACCTTACTTAGCACCACTGCACTCTTCGTTTAAAATCTGACAATCCCCATTCTCACATTGCACTTCATTTAAATCTGACATTCCAGTTACCTGGAGCAAGTGCTTTGATGAAGAGAAACTTGGAGGGTAATCCATGAGGACACATTAAACTGTTACAAGTCATAAAACATCTGCACCCAATGGCAAGCTATAAACCTGAATGGATAAAGCTATTAAATGCATAGCATTGCTGGGCTGAATCCTTCTCCCTGTGAGCACACTCAGCTGGTTCACACACAAAAGGTTTTACCATGATCGTATCATGAGCAGCTCATATGATTATAATTTCCAGTAAGGAAGATTGCTAGCAAGAGCTGAGTTAGGACAAAATCGCATGCTTCTGGTGAACACAAAACTGAGAGCATTATAAGATTCCTCTAGTATTTACTGAGCTTATGATACGAGATGTCTTTTCCCATCACATCTGCTGTACAACTTCATAAAATGATGAAAACACCAAGAATAAGCTAAAATGAAATAATACTCAAGTAGAATGGAAAAAGCCACCAATGCAAGAAAATTGTATATTTTAGAAATCCATGGTACTTCCAAGTATCAACACTTTTTATTCCATTCTTACTTGTCTTCACAGAAATGAACAGGGGAGAAGCAGTGACACCCAGCTCCAGCTCTTTTCTGAAGTTCAACAGAGCCACCAGTGACCTGCCTGGACTCAAGAAAAGCTCTTACACATACCCTGGTTAGAAAAGATCAGGCAGAACACATCATGAACAGATTCTGTTGTCTTTATACCCAAACACTGTTACTGTCTTTGCTGACTGAGACTAAACAGAAGTTGGCATAGGTTTCCTTCTAACAGCCTTACACAGACATAAAGTCACCCACCCAAGTATGATTCCAAGGGACCATATTTAGTTTTTTCAGGGAAGCTGAAATCAGTCCTCAAAGGGGAAGGAGAAGAGGCATTGTCTGTATGGTCTCACAGAGTCCTACTGATTTTGCCCAAGAGGATCCATTCACCTCTTCCTAGAACTGCTACCCAACACAAAATCCACTCATTAAAACTTGTAATAATTTCTAACAACCACTTTTTCCTTATTTTCCATGTGCTGGCTGCCATTTTCAACATAAAAAAACACCTTATTTTTGCCACAGGTTCTACAGAGACCAGTCTAGATAAGAAGCAGGATTTCAGCTTCACTGATCTCTCCACCATTTTTTCCCACCCAGAAGTAAAACAAAGAAGAAATACATTTATTGCCAGACAGATTCTCCAAACAAAATCCTGGTCAGTCAACTGAAAGTCTGTTTCCATAAATCAAAATTCCTTTCATCTTTACCAGTGGAAAAGGTATTGTCACTGAAGATTATTTTCCTCTACAAAACTTCATACTTTTTACAAAGTAGCATTTTCCAAAAGTAAAATGTTAAGCTGAAAAATGGCCATCCTACTACACCTATCATGTTTCTGTGTAATCTTGTCTGCAAACATTAACTCAGCTACTACCTCTAGCCTGGGTAATCGCTTCAGCAAACATTCATTCAGTTACTATCTCTGAACAGGCAACTCACAAAGCTGTCTTTTTGCTAGATGTCTATCTTCTCTAGATCAAACAGAAATGCCAGGTTGATTCTCTGTTCACTCAAGCACAGTTTTCTTCATGCATACTGGACCACCATTTTGCTTGAATAAGATATTTACACTTTGGATTGTCATCTACCACTCAGACCACTCCCTAGGTCTTCATTTGCAGGGTATATTTAAATTTTGCAGATTCTAGCTGCATAGCATCTCCAGGGCAAGTCTTACACTGCAGACGTCTTCTTACACAGGTAAAGCAAGTACGTGAGATTGAATGACAGTATTCCTATACTGAAAGTAGCATAGGAATTTAGACAGTAAAGCACTGCCTAAAGACAGTATTCCTATACTCCTGTCTTCCATTCCATCCCATACCATCAATACTGCTCTTATTCAAATAATCATCTCTATGTTTTCTCTCATGTTTTCCTTTCTGTTTGGAAGAAGTTTCTAGTTAACAAATACATTTCATTAAACTGTTTTAAATTATTTGTTAGTAATCTCTCTTGCCAATCAATCTGCAGAGAGAATTGGCAATGGTTTAGGTACCAGTGTGATGAAGTCACTGTCTGTTGTATAGACCTGCCTTACTGCTTCTTTAGATTCCTCTGTTGGTCTCTAGTGATTTGCTTTCACATACTCATATTGTAGGCTCTTTGCAGCAGGTCTTCCCCTGGGGTCTTAGGCACACTGCAAGGCATCTGGTACTACTTCTGAAAAAAAAAATTATTATTTTAATAGAGAAGAGAATCGGAACCATTGTATCTCTATATTCCAACACAATATCACTCTCTTCACAAAGAACTGTGATCCCAAGCAATATTTCTCACACTCCTGTAGTTCCATGCAAGCATGATAAAGCGTTTGTCCTTTAAGCATGACACAAACTAACCATTCACTTATGAAAGCCCATTCTCTTGGAATGAACATATTTTGGAGAATCACAGATAATGTCATTCACTGTTAACTCTCCAAGAAAAGAATACACAGTATGTGTTGTAATGGAGGCATGAGCTTCATTTACTCTGGGAGCCACAGCAAGGAAATTCTTAAAATAAAAGTAACTAGAACATGCACACCATAAATTTAAACAAGACTTTACATCATGTCTATGAAAAATACCTGCATATTTTCTAAGATAAAAAAATTTACCATATTATTACTAAATACTTTTGCTATTGCCAGGTCCATCTGATGATACCTCTGTAGTAATTCTAGACTAGATAGATAGTATATTTTGATAGGTTTCAAATTATTATCCAGACCTAAAGAAGAATATTATACATGAATCACTCATCCAAAATCAAAAGCTCAGGAACTTGCAGAAAAAAATGCTGGCATTTGGAATACTTTCTTAACAGTAACATTGTTTTCATAAGATTTCCCTGTTCTATGCACACCTGTCAGACATTGGGCATTTTGTGTAAGGATTATTATTTTGCAGATCAACTTAGGGTGGCATCTCTGCAACAGATATCTCACTGGAACTTCTATAGCTTAAATTTTCTCAGCAGGTTGAAATAATATACCCTTGATCTCTGAACTTTGATAGCATCTTGACTAAAAATTGACTATGTATACCATATCATTTTAGGGAATTACATGATTTTAGCAGTCTGGAAATAATTTCAAATATTTCTATTTGAATGTCTGCCAGCAGGGCTAATTTTGTTATATAGTAATCTGGAAAGATGTATTAGACTCTGTTTTACCTGTCTCCCAAGCCACTGTATAGATTAAAGGTATGTTATAAGAAGCATTCCTGTACTTTTTCTACTATATTTTCTGAAAAAAAAAAAAAAAAAAAAAAAAAAAATTAGCCCTCCTTGTAAAACCATCTATTAAAACGATTTTAATGAAATCATGTACCCAGCCAGAACAATAGCTTTACTGGCAAAACTTGACAAAAAAGCATGATCTGCTGTTCTATTAAAGGAGACAGGTTTCATTTTCATGTTCTAGGACCAATGTGATTGTAGCTTCATCAGATCATTGCTTCAGTTTACTGAAATGTAAAAGGAGATGAGGTAAACCATCCATTCTAGTGGCTGTGAATGAATTAAATTTAGCAGCATGTAAAATTTCAGTTTTGATGGTGTCACAGATCGTTTACTAGATGTGTCCTAATAAGCAAAGATCCAGAAGAGATGACTCAGTGTATGTCCAGTTTGTTTAAGTGTTCCCTAACCTGATCCTCCTCCACTGAGTAAGTCTTCCTTGCTCCAGACTTTCTCACTGCTCTCATGGATATGGAGCTGCTGAAGGCAAGTTTTACCTGTAAAGATCAAGGTGAAGAAGGCATTGAATACCTCGGATTTCTCCATATCCTTTGTCATAAGGTCCACCATGCTA